TGACAAATTCGTGACGCAAGTTTTGACCACTCATATCAAAGGCCTTACGTGCACTGACACGGGAAATGATTGTCTGCCACGTAACGGCACACGCTACAACGTGGCAGACGACCACTTTACATGTCAATCCATGCAAGGCTTATGTATTTAAGTGGTCAAACTTGTGTCATCAGTTAACCACAGAATATCGTCTGGCTTTTGGACCATTATAAATTTTTCTTTTTTTCTAAGGAAAGAAATCTCTCCAGCTTGGTTTCCAAGTCATGTTTCTTAAAATTATTCATTAAGTGCTATTATAGACTAACCGTGGTACCTCCGGGGTCACTGCTCTTTCACCGCGGGTCTCCATCCCCCTGCCCTTACCCTCAACACAGGTCTGCATCCCCGTAAGAAATCTACGTAAAGTTCTGTTCGACCCCCCCCCCCTTAATTAACGTTTTGTGATGGATTTTGAATTAAAAATTGCCACCTCGTGTTGACTTTTTACGTAAACTTTTTGAAAAATCAGCGCGACGCCCCCATTCTATTGTTACATAACGCAGCCCTGAACTTCCCTCTTCCTCTTGTAACGCACCCGTGCCGCAGACTCAGACTTTCCTCCACCGTAAAGCGTTACGTTGTTACATACTTATAAATGGTCTCACGAAAGGTAATTTGGTTTTTTTTTTTTTTTTTTTTTTTTTTTTTTTTTCAAAAAATTAAACTTGATTAAATATGCTCAACGTTCCGTATTTCTTAATCTGAGCTATATCCATATAAACTCCCCGACTCTTAAAAGTTTAATCTTTATCACAGTTAAATCTATGGAGTCGTCAAACCGATTTCCTTGATTTTCGCGGCAACCAATAGTTAATTAGCTCTAGTTGAGCCCGCTATTCTCAAATTTTTGAGCATTGAGTATTGTCAGGAAGCAGCCCTTGGATGTCGCGAAGCGCCCCGCATGCAGGGTCTGGGCTGTGTAGTGGCCAGGAGAGGGGGCCTCACAATAGCAAATAAATAAGGAGACCTAGAGCCGCGAAACGAAATACGAATCCACCCCTGAGGAAGAGAAAAAGGCGGGGTGAGGACGACCCAAAATGAAGGGCGGCAAAACGGCGGCACCTCATTGGCGAACCCGCTCCGAGGGGTGAGAGCTAGCCGGCCGGGGGGTAGCCGGCGCCGAAAAAACAGGAGGGAGGCAGAAAAAAACCAACCCTTCCCACAGGATTCGCAACCCTTTGAGCCCGACGCGAAGGGTCGCCTTTTTTCCCGTCTCTTTTTTCGCCTCATTCCGACGGGCAAAAAAGGAACCGGCATAAAAACCGGACGATCTCGTGAGAATCCGATAAACCTAGGGGATGAACAAGTCCTCGCTGCAAGTGCGTCGCTATTTTTTTGGTGGGTGGCGTTCGTTGAAACAAAGCTGTTTTTTTCGGGCCGAGTCTAATCCCGTACAGGTTCTTCCTCACGGGTCCTAATTAAGGATCCTTCATGCGAGCCGCGTCCTCGCCGAAAAACAAAAAAACCGCGTCAATTTTTAATATTGTCATTAAGGATTGTTTTTTTCGTCGCCGCGGCCAGTTTTTCTACCGACTCCCGACCTTTGTTTTCTCACGGGTAACAAGTTCGTGAAAAGGATGCGTGATCCACTGTCCCTGCGGCGGATTACTGACTCGCGAGTTCCCATCCCCAGGATCGGGAGGCGTCTTATCCCTCCGCGATAATTCGAAAGCTTAGAATCATTTTTTTCAACGCCTTGAGTGCTTTTCAGTCGGCACGGAGCGTGAATATGAATCGATGTTGACCGACTTGCAATGTCGTGCTTGCGGGGACGTTATATCCTCTGCTCTGTGGAGTGATGAAACCAAAAGCGGGAGAGGCTTTATTGTAAGGGTCGGATAGGGGTAAGTAACTCCTTTCCTTAAGGCTCTCTACACGATTTATATTGCGATTGTGGCCATGGGAGGTTTAAGGAGGCCTTTGACATCGCACCGTAGTAAGGGCATTTTTTTACGGTTCTCGAGTTAATTTCATAATGGGTCAGTCGCGCTGGTCTCAGAATTGTGTTTCGATGCTAGATTCTTGTCGATCAGCTAAAAAAAATAAGATCCGTCCAAACAGCAACTTTCTTTACGTCGAATATTAACCGAGATAAGTTTGAAAAGTCGAGTTTTTGACGTCATGCACCGCGGCATTGACACTCATGGTTTCATTCACCTTGCTTTCATCCGAGTTTCACGTTAAGTAACAAGTGCAAATGTGTCTTTCAGACTAATGAAAATTCTGTGATATAGGACGGGCAACCGACGTCAGTATGACGTCATTAAATGTATTTTTCGAAGCGCGAAATCTCGTTTAATATTCAACGTAGAAAGTTGCTGTTTGGACGGATCTTATTTTTTTTAGCTGATCAATATAAGAATCAAGCATCAAAACACGATTCTTTTTCTAGCGCAACTGACCCATTATGACTTTTAAAATAGATCCTTGTAAGGGATTAGGTACCCTGATTTACCGCTGCGAAAGTACAAAATTGGCAATTCTCTGATTTCGACACGCACTAGTGGGGACCTACATTAAAAATTGGACATTATGCCAAAGGAACCTGAGACGGGTGGAGAAGAAGGAGTGTGCTTGTTAGTCGACGGCCGTAAGAATAAATGGAAATTATAAGGCCCCAGTGACGTCAGCGGCAACGACGGGGACAAGGAGATTTAAGAAGACGTCATTTATCTCATAAGCCCTGTCCACACCGCTCTTGTCACATGCCAACGGCTCATGAGTTAGCATATTTTGGCGCTTAGTTCCTTTTGCTTTAATGTCAAATTCCACTTTCTCATTTTCCCGAAAGGAATCGCGCCCACTTTTACATGGTCTCCTATGCAGCTCAAACGAGCGCACCTCATCATCCCCACCCGTCTCTAGTTCCTTTTAGCATAAATACGTCTAACCGTAAGATCGACCATATTTTCTCTTTGGTATATTGTATTTTTTGCAAGGGCAAATCGTTGTAGTTCTTCGTGAGAGGCCATTTCTTTTCCATTTTCATTTTTTCATACTTTTGATTTTTTTCGATAATTTTAAGAAATGTCCTTATTAAATTCATGGTTCAGGAGACGCTCCAAACGCTTTTGGTAGAAATCGGCATTTTACGGGTCAGAAAATACATATTAGAATACTTGCACAGTTTGTGATGCTGTCGAAGTGACTTAAATTTTTTTTCCAAGCGCACCAAGTGTAGTTATGAATCGATGATACTGTATTCATCAATTTTTACTAGGAAAGAAAAAAAAATCGCCCAACTTCAGAAAATCGATTTTTGAGCGGTCCCGAGCGGATTGTGACCATAGTCTGGCGAATGGGTGGAAGAGAGAGTGATCGGACACTCCTATCTTTAGAGTAAGAATATAACTGATATCTTAGATCAATATCTTCAGAATATTGAATTTTATGAGGAATATCAACATTCATCGATGGGTCCGACAATATTTTGAAAATCAAAGATTCACCGCTGCTGAGAGGGCGCGAGCGACAAAGCTAAAAATGACCAATAGGTATGCCTCTCCTTGAGATAGGCTCAAAAGACAATCACAGCCTCGCCGTGAAAAAAAAGAAGCACCGGATCACCAAATCTACCCCCAAAAATCTTTAATTTTCATATATTAAACTTCAGTCTTACATCATTCTAAATCTGGCAATCTCGCAGAAGATCGCGTCCCGGGCGATTCAAAGGACGCCAGAAAAAGAGAAAGGGTAAAAAAAAAAAGTAGACAAAAAAAAAGCCAGCCGCAGATGAGTAACCCTTTCCTGGGCTGACAATAGCCCCAGTCCAGCTGTTCCGCGATCGCGGACTCGGGAATCGCCCCGTCTCTCTTCAACCCTTTGAACCGCGGAGGTGAGGAAAGGACGGAGCGAAGGGGTTAGTCTCGCGCTCTGTCCTTCTCCGACAGCTGAGCTTTCAGCCCTGAGACTTGATGCAAATGAGCCTCCGTTTAAAACACCTTCCGATCTCAATAGCGGATCTCGTAAGAAAAAACGCACGCGCAAGATGAAAAAAGAAAACAAACCGGGCAGTGTTTTACTCCCGAGAAGTTGAGGGTCTTCGCGCACAGATAATGTCCGTTTTTTTTTCCGGCCTTACTTTTTTCTCTTTGATTTGGGTTCCGGATTCCCGATGCGTCTTTGCCGGATCTTCTTCGAGCATTGAGGGCATCCGAATAGAACTAATAGTTCTTACGATCGTTTTGACAACGTCGAGTAATTTCACAGCTGCGTTGGTTTCGTATGGTCATTTTTTTCGGATCCTACTCCTACCTTTGATTTTACGATGAGCGAGCCCGTGTGAAAATGTCCCTCGGATCTTCGCCGCGGGATTGTTTTAAGATTTAAGTCCAGAGCTCCGTAAAAAAATTCTTCCGGATTTTCCCATCGGCATTCTAACATGGGATCGATTTGGGCTCCGGTTCGACGTGTGGCAGGTAATGACAAAAAAAAATATGGGAATTTTTAAAGGCATCACAGTCGTACATAAAAACCAAAAGTAACAAATATTAATTTTTTTACTTTGATATGTGTAGTTTAAATTTCGCCCTCATTGTGCGAGTAATTGATATATTATGAGTTTGTTATACTCATATGTTACTCCTCTAGCATGAGGGCGTATCTCAATTTTTACAAGATATCCAGAAAGCATGGATTCGTGTATAAAACAGGGCTCGCGTGGAAATTAAGATACGACCTTACGTTGGAAGGGCGACGATGTTAAGCCAGGAGAGGCTCTTCTCCAATCGGGTTTCATTTTTTTCACATGAAACTAATCGATAGTTTTTCTACGAATTTTTAATAAATACTCTCCGCCTATTCAACTACATTAACTGAAACCTTAAGGATTTATTTCGATTACTTTCTTTGTAAAAAAATGGACCACAATCAGAGATTTTTTAAGGTAATAACGGAGGAACACGTTATTTTACTTTAGCAGTCGATATTTAGAGTTAATAAATACCTCGTCAAAAAACAAATAAATAAACACAAATATTCATCAGTACAAATAATAACCGTACACAAAAATAATGTATTTGCGCGGGTACATCATTTCTTTTCTTTTTCTTTTTTTTTAACAATTTTAAATTTTACAATAAGGGGCACGGAAAATCGCAACATTTTTTAGATTTCAGTCTCAGTAAAAGAGCCAATTCATCTCACAATTTGCATTGGCTTAACATCGAGAGCTCTAGATCACTCCAGAATTTGATTCTGTCTTCATAAATAAAACCGTCTTGAATTTCCAGCTTTTGTCCAATCTTACAATGGACTGGTTGACAAAGGGTGAGAGGTTTCCAATCAATCTCGAGTGAGCCTTTCGGATCCCTGGAACAAAGATTATAGTCTACGGTAATCACGATGTATCTGCAGTTGAATTTGATAACTTGGATAAAATAAGTATTTTTATAGTAATTGAAAATTCGGTCTTGAGTGTTCAACGTTTACTCTGACCAGTTCGCCTTCAAAAAGTTAACATGCAATTTGAGCGTCTTTGGAGCAGTTTGCACACACCTGTTTGAGCATGCTTGCTTACTCACTGTGCTTAACGCTCACTATGACCAGTTCGCTTTCAAAAATTTAACGGGACAATTTAAGCGTTACTTTATTTACAGAGCCTTCATGACCGAATCTAAATTTTTAGTTCCCCCGGTTAAACTTTGGTTGACGCCCCGAACGCTACGAGAAGCTAAAGATGATTGGACAGCATATCAAAAAATATTAAGCGAGGGAGAAACATCAACAGTCATATCATCGTGGCATATCACGAGCTTCGTGCCAAATATATCTTACCCAAATCAATGCACCCTGATATTTGGACATAGAGATGCCATAGGAAACTATGAAAATGAATTAATAATTAAAAACTACGTGCATAAAATGTGCTTTATGGCTCTTCTCATTTTCAATTGATTTCACATTATTCTTTTCAGCACGATTACGTCCATTTTTCCTGCCTCCGGATTCACTCAGGACAGGTACAGGCACGCACATGAATATTGTCGAAAAGTTCTAGAAAAGATATTACCCGAACTTGGCAAAATTTGTCCAAACTGTGGTCAGATTTTCCACAACCTGCTTACAAGCATCTGATCTCAATATACAATAGTCCAAAATTCGCTTGCTGAATAGGAAAAGGAGATCATCACCATGGCATGATCCTGTCCAAAGAAGAAGAAAGGCTTCAAGAAATACAGATTTTTTTAGTAACTATTGATGAAAGGAAAATATTAAAAGTCGGCGCTGTACGCGTGGCCGAACCTTGGTAAAAATGACCATTTTCAGGGGGCTGTTTATTTGTTATTGGCCAACAGGAGCCCATGCCTGCTAAGCATGAACCTACGTCGGGTTCTACCCGGGGAAGTTATAGAGACAAAATCACACACAGGCTAATGTTGGTCTCAACATGGGAATAATTTCAGCATGGTGAAGTTTGGGTCATAATACGTTAACTAACATGGGGCACGAAGCGGCATTTTAGGAACTGTGTCAATACATTAGGTATTGTAAATCTGAATCCATCCAGGTGGCACTTCTTGAACCTATTAGATGCTATTAGCATGATGCTGAAATTGCGATGCTCTCACATACAGGTCTTTTAGATACTGGTCCCACAGCTACGCTGCTTTAATTTTCCTGTTCAGCTTTTCTAGTTGGATACTTTCATTTAATTAATCATGATTTCCGTTGTGTTCGTCGTCTCAGAGATTATTATACAGAGAAGCTTTATACTGAAATTAAAATGCTTTGTGTCAATGTATTCGTAAATTCTCAAATTTATCCATGCATGATATCAGGAACACCTACTACTGTGCTTGAATTTTACTGACTGTGCAATATTTCCTCGCCATCTTGGAAATCTTGAAATTGCATTGCGGCAAAAACATGCTGATTTATCGCGTATGAGTTGAATTTGGATAAATCCTATGCATCTGCTGTGTTTCATGTTACATTTTAGTAAGAATAAACGTGTCAAGGAATTCATTTTTTTAACCAGATTAGCAGTCCATTATAACAGTGCAACAACATACCTGTAATATAATCAGGCATCCGCAATCCTGGCATGAGTTTAATAATACTTATAGCGGTATCAAAATCAAACAAGTACAAAGACATTGGTTTTGAGTCTGAATAACTTAAGCAAGTCTTCAACCATTGATAATTTCCGCGCAAAAAGTTAATATCACCGAAAAACTGTAAAGAGGGGACAGAATAAATTAGATAAACGCAGGGGACTTTGGTGCACAAACATGGATTTGTGAGGAGAACGAATTCCATATCAATCTTCTCTGAAAAATCAGAGATTGTATTTTAAACGGTGAAGAATATCTTGTGTTCAAAATTAGAATGATATGAGCTGCGATGTTTATTTACCTCTATCTATACCTTCCTATATTGAGGGTACTTCTTGCCGTGAATTCATATAAAAACAATTTTAACAAGTCTGTTTAATTTTTGCAATGTACCTTAATAAAACTAAAAAACAAGTCCGGGATCTTTTTTTCAACAGAATGAAGGAGTATGAACTTACGTCTGCAAATTTTTGAACGGGAATATTTTTTTGGACCTCCAGGTAAAACTGCCTTACTTCATTCTTGGCAACCGCCACTTTCGATCGATCGTTCGATATGCTCTTCAGATCGTCGGGAAACATATCGTCCATAGCCCGTTCTGGATCTTTTTTAACTGTATTCAACATCTTATGATTTTCTAAATTATTGGAATGGAAATATAAAAAATACATCTCAATTAATGAACTGGTAGTAAAGACATTTTAATGTTTTGTAAGTCTACAAACTCAGATCATACATGCACAGTCATACGCCTACAAAGGTTGACAAAAATTGAATTTTTTTTATAATTCATGCAAACAATCTCATGAATATTATGCAGTAGTCCTCGCGACCCTTCCACCACCAGACCTACTTTTCCCATACGTCACGCGCCCTCGAGATTTGGTTAGAAAACTTTCGGGGTGTAAATGCCGTAAAAGGCAATATCTAGTGAATTCCAGGAAAGAGAGAAAGTAGTGATTGTAATGAAATTGTAGCCCATAAAAGGTTGTAACTTACCCAAGTAAATGATAAATCCCTCCGAGCTGTTCAAACCGAGAAGAACGGGCACAGCGGGAGCTTGTGTTAGAAGAGCTCTAGGTTCTGAGGGTAAAAATCGACCCTCGTAAGATCCACAAATTTCTTTTGAAGGGACGAACGAAAAGGCTAACCCAGTGTGAAGGTCCTGGTTAAAGGCAACAATTTCAATCACCGATAAGAAAATAGTCTCATTTTATTGAATTTAGTTTGGTTTGACATGACAAGAGCCCCTTTTCGTGTCAGACATGTTTGAGTTGGTAGCCGAGTAGCACAATCCAACAAACATCTTGAAATGACCACGAAACAACAATAGGTATTTTAAATAATTTGGTCGATAAATGCCAATTTTAAATGATCATACAGTAGGTATTCAAGAGGCAGGCAAAATGCAATGCAAAATATACATTTTATCCAATACATTTCAATTAGATGAGTTTTTTACTTATGAGCAGACAACGTGCTCTAATAAAATTTATTGCAATAATTTTACCATGTAGTTGCAATTTACTGAAACCTATTTTACTCAGATGACAAGGTCTGAATTTGATGTATTTAAATCATAATCTTGATGGATCTTTATAGTGACCTGGACCCTAAAACCTGTGCGAATACATGCATGACAGGGTCCATGTTGCAATGGAAATAGCTCTTTTCCCTTTAATACGCCCCATTGATCATACATTGAGGGACCAATACTTCTAGGGCTCATTTTAAAAACAACGTTTGTACCACTAGTTTCGGTATGAAGATAGGTGTTTTTTTGGATACACGAGCTCACGGGAAAAAAGAGCACGGGGTTGTCCGATGATATGGACATTTCCAATTAATCGTGGTAGTACCCTAATAAATTAGGGCACTAACCCAAATGTTGCAGCACTACCCCAATTTGAGTTGCGGTGCTACCACAATTAATTGGAAATATCCATATCAACAAATTGGGGTAGTACCACAATTTTAAGAGATAACCCCTAACACTTTTTATCCGTGCTGGATGTAGTGGTTGGGTTGAAGGCTCGATAAGCACTGAAATATAGAACAATTATAGCTTACCTCAGTGGTCATGATAGATAGGACAGCTCTGACAAGTTTTTTGGCAGGCACTGCCATTAAAAATGTATGAAGTTCTTTTACATCATGAGTGACACATCCAAGTTTATCTCCAACACGGAAAGCTCGTCTAATTGATACCTCAGGGTCCATGTAAGCCCACGGATCAAGAACGCAGGCACTCGCTTTGATCGCTTTGTGAAAAAGACCTGAAAGATCAAGAAAAGCTGAAATGATAATGGGAAGTGTTTTGGATAGTAAGAAAAGTGCTCCTCAGACGGTTCGGAAAACCATCCACTGGAGCCAATTTTCAATGTATTGACTTGATGGTTCACTTAAACTCAAAACTAGAAAATCTCATGCATGTTCAGTAACTCCATAGTCATACTTTTGCAAATCATTCCATACAGGGTGTCCCGAAAGTCCATAACCCCCCCCCCCCCCCCCCCCCCCCCCCCCCCCCCCCCCCCCCCCCCCCCCCCCCCCCCCCCCCCCCCCCCCCCCCCCCCCCCCCCCCCACCNGGGGGGGGGGGGGGGGGGGGGGGGGGGGGGGGGGGGGGGGGGGGGGGGGGGGGGGGGGGGGGTACGGACTTTTGGGACACCCTGTATACGTCGATATCTTATGTTTACCTTTGGAGAGTGGAGAGAGTAAATGATAGCTGACGGAAGCAGATCCGGCACTTTCTCCGCAGATTGTAATATTGTCAGGATCCCCAGAGAACTTCTTGATCTGCTTTTTTACCCAAATTAAAGCTGCTCTTTGGTCCAGCAAACCAACATTTCCCGGACATTTCCTGATTCCTAAATTTAAAAACCCTAAAAAAAGCGTATACGAAAGGATAAATGCACCAATAACAAAAAGGAAGAAAATATAAATAAAATCGCGTTGCAAAAATTTAGCGACGAGGTCGAAAACGGTTTTAAGCGTGCCATTGGATGGATAACGAGCATACTCTTGTAACAGCAGAAAAGTAAATTGTCCTCCGAGGACAAACATCGTACTCTCGTCCTTTCAATTTTCCTTCTCAGAGAACAATTTTTTTACGGTACTATACAAAATATATCAAAATTTTACTTAAAAGCAAAGTATTTGGTTTGAAAGAGTGAAAAGTTTAACTTCTTCTTGTCGCTCCTTACTGCAAGGAAAAAAGTGTTTTTTTTTGTTGTTTTTTTAGATTCTAGGACACCAGGAGGACATTTTGAGCCAACGGTAAAACAGCAGCAATTCTTAGTAATTATTTGTTGCTTTGCTCCCTCGTCCATTCCAATGAAAGTTGAATCTTCTGGTAAAACACTCACCAAAAATATTTAACCGATAATTGATTGTAACTAAAACAACATCCTTTGCAATTAAAAAGTCCGGTCCATACAAATTTGAGTTTGAACTTCCGGACTGGAAACCGCCACCGTGAATAAATACCATCACTGGCCTTAATGATTCGCAAGAATTACCCTGGAAAAAAGAAAAAAAAGAGAAGAAATTACGTAATTCGAAAATTTTCAAACTGAATTTTAATTCAATTGAAAATTTTCAAACTATTTTTAAGGTTTTTCGAGGTTTGGGAAGAGTATATTTTTCATTTTGTCGATAACTTACTTAGCCCCAAACATTATAATAACTCTTACCACTGGAGAGTAAATATTTAAGTAAAGGCAGTCTTCGGCTCCTGAGATAATGGGAAGCAAGGGTCCGGTGAACATCATTTTCTGACAACAGGCATTTCCATGTTTTTTGCACTGACGAACACCGTCCCATTTCTCGACGCTTTTTGGAGGCTGAAATAATTTATAAGAGAAAATTAGCACACTAAAATCATATCTTTTCTCGCATAAAAATGTAGGTCATATCACAAAACTATCGATTACCTAAAAATTATGAGGGAGCCAGGACTACTCACCCACAGAATTTTCGCCTAAGGGACTATTTACCCACTCGTTTTCGCACTCCAGACTTTTCAATTTCAACCCACGGATATTCACTCACAAACCTTTTAATCTACATGTATTTTTACCTACAAGCATTAGGCTGCAAGTTGCAAAAGTTAGAATTGAACACCACTCTCGCGGTCATGCCTGAATAACTAGAAACTGGAGTTGGAAATCAAAATCGCCTTCAATTCGATGGATGTAATTTGAGCGGCTCAGAAGTTGACATACGAGTATTTGCATCGCGCATCTTAGTCTAGCATGATGTCCAGGGACAAGTGACTTTCGTTTTAATCTTTGCGTTTTCAATTACCGTCGCAACGAAACGTCCAGCAACTTTTACTCGAATATCCCTACCGAAAAATTTTTTGATAGTGACATATTGGGAAACATTGCAAAAGTTAGAAGTGAGTACCTTTTTTGTGGACGCATCTGAATAATGGAGTTAAAAAGGCAAGTAGACCTCCTTCAAGACTTCCACGGGTAATGTAAATTAAATATAGGTGAACACTCCCTCTTTGCAAAAAATTGTGTAGGCATACAACAGTGCGTATGGGGGTATAAATGCTGTGGGTCAAGAGTTGTGGGTGTAAAGGTCTGGGTGACTTCTACCGTGCGGGTGATGAGTCTGTGGGCGAGTAGTCCCGGAATCATTATGAGGATTAAATGGAATGCATTTTGCAATTTGGAACTATAAATTCCGGCTCAGTTTAGAAACAACGTATGCAAAGTTAGTTTCCCTCTGCACATAAGTGTTTCTATAGATGAGCCAGAAATTGTAATGAGCCTGTTGCATGCAAGAGATACAGCCGCGTGAATAGACTTTTCAGAGGTTAAATGACACGAAAATTACGATGGTCACATTAAAAAAGTCTGAAATACACTCCTTACTGCGCAATTTGTGTTGTTAGGAACGCGCTTTTTCAACCCGCGCCTGGGGGCAGTTTTCTAATCACCGGAAACGAGCAAACGGCGGGCTCGGTGATTTCCGGAAGATGCCGAGTCGTTGTTGTTGTTGTTATTTATTCCTTCAGTTTGTTTACAAACCCAACGTGATCTCCTACAGTGGTCCATATACGCTTTATGCGGTAACCAAATCGATCAACTTTTAAATATCCAACGCAATCCTTCTACATTTCATTTCACGATGTCACGAGCTCCGATTTTTAGGTTATGTTGTCAGTTTTAGTTGACCGGAAATAGCCGCGAGTTGCCGTTAATTGTTTCCGTTAGAAAACTGCCCCCAGACGCGGGAAATTTGAAAAAGCGCGTTCCTAACAACACAAATTGCGCAGTAAGGAGTGTATTTCAGACTTTTTTAATGTGACCATCGTAATTTTCGTGTCATTTAACCTCTAAAAAGTCTATTCGCACGGCTGTATCTCTTGCATGCAACAGGCCCATTCCAAATTGCAAAATTTAGTCCAAATTGTATTACCCTCACGCCTATGGATATGTAGCTTATCCAGTGCAGTAGATCCAATTAGACCAGTGTCCCTGCAGCATTGGGAAATTTATTTTTGATGAAATAGATCTCACCTTTGCTGTAAAAAAGGGTTTTTTTAATATGAATTTCAATGTCTGGAAATTAATGTAAACTAATTCAGAGGACATCTGAAAGCAGCACAGATCGTGATAATATAAAAATAGGGACAATTTATAAACAACCGTCCTGTTAGGTAAATCCGGTTGAATCTCTGAAAATTCCACTTAGTTCGGCAAAGTTACCTTAAAACGCAGCGATCCAGTGGGTGGGCGGGCATATGGGACACCTTTGAAGCTGTAGTAAGGTTCATCGTTGAGCTTGTTGATGAGTATTTCTCCCTCAATGAAACCTCCATCCACCTCTATAACAGTATGGTCCATTCTTTCTATGTCAAGAAATAAAAATAAAAAAAAGAAGAAAAGAAAAATATACGAAAAAGTTAGATTGGGTGAGAATTGAACATGTCATAAAAAAAAATAAAAGTGGAAAAATTAACAAAAGGAAACGTCTTAGACACCTCAACCGTTAGATTACACGGCTTCAACGGCATATACTCATACCACAAGAGTAAAATTTGGTTTTATTATTGGTATTATATATTGGCTTTAGTCGGAGGGTCTGGCCCCCTCATATTAAGGGGGCCGGAGTAAGATCCCTATAAAGGCCCATTTTTGCATTCGAAGGGGGGGAGGGTTGAACGTAAAAAGGCTACGAGCCTGTCTGAATCCCTCTAAAAATTAGTTGAATTTTAGAGGATGGAATGTAAAGGGTCAGGCATCAAGAAAGTCACTTTTTGTTGATTACCTTTTTACCACCACTGGTTAGAGTGTCGCCACTTTTACAGAACTATGAGAATTGCGAACATTCTGAAAACCACAATGACAAAAAACATGTATATGGAAATGGAAGAACATAAATAAATAATGACGACAATACTAAAACTAAAACTTTATCAGCTATGGTGTCTGCGATCTTAAACTTGAACAGATTCTGGGTCCGCATCTTAGCGTCCGATCGCTCAACTGGCCTTGTTGCGTGATGCCATCTTAGAGTGGGATGGGAGGGGGGGAGGTTGCAAGTGAATATTACAGGTTACAGTATTACAATCTTTCGAATCAAGAGTTTAAAATTGTTTTTGACGGTGCTTCTAATATCTCCAATTATTGTTCCCAAGTTGCAATTTGTTTGCTTTTACCGCAAATTTTGGCTAAAGCTCAGACTTTACGGTGTCAAATTGAAGGTCTAAAAATCTGAAATCAAGAAATTGCTGGGGGACAGTTCACAGCTTGACTAGCCGCAATTATTTTCCTGTCAAAAAGTCTAAGTCGAGAAAAAAATATTTTGATTGTGAAAAAAAGACCTGCTTCTATCTCTAACATTGAGTCTCATCATAGGTAAAATTTAAAATCTTTTTCCTTGGTTCGATTTTGATATCGTCACCTTCCGGCCAAAGTATCACAAGCATCATACGAGCGACGTTTCAAAATCTCCACCGTCATTTTATTTGTTTTCAGAGAAATTGTTGGTTGGATCTGTTTGAAAATTTCACTGAATTTTATCAGCAGCACAAAGGAAATCCAGTGAAATTTTCAGACAGCTTCGTTGAACAATTTCTTTATAGAAAAATAAAATGGCGGCGGAAATTTTGGAACGTCGCATGGGGCTACTGATACTTTGGCCGGAAGGTGACGCTGTCTCTTGCAGAGGCGTGACGTGGTGTGTGATATATCGATTGATTTGCCACTTAAATCTATTGAAAACGTTAGATAAACAGGATTTGCGCAACAAACACCTTAATAATTGATTCTTAACCACAGTTTTAAATGGAAAAATATCGATAATCGATTATTCACGCCTCGCCACTGATCACTTGGCTCCATTTTGTTCACCGCGATCCAGTTTTCGACACCCGTGGGGTAAAAAGATTTTAGAACTTTTAAACACTGTTGAATTACGGTAGAGAGTAAACACACTCTATTAGTGCCAGCCTTTAAATTATGAGCCAGGCTACAGACGTGGGAATTGTGCGGAGCTAAAGTTGCATAAAAAGCCTGTCTCAAACCTGGAAAAAGCATCATGATTGGACTTACTTTACCAGATACTGGAGGATGAAATATCAAGGTTAAGCGGTTGATCGCCTGAAGGTTGAGGAATAGTTGAATGATTGGCATGGTAACTAGCAATCAAAGGCTATTAATTATAAATATTGCGGAGAGAGATAAATTTTCATTTACTCAGTATCACATATGTGTAAAAAAGAATATTAATGTTCAAAGTAACACGACGATGTGACCTTTGACTGCGGCGTGGCGTTAGATCATTCACGACTTTTCAAAAATGAATATATATGTTGATCAGTTGATGAGAAATTATCGGTGGGGTAAAATTTTCATTTTTGAATCAAAAACATGAAAATTAAGTTTTGAACAATGTCGATTAATCAACAGGAGTACGCAACATACTTTTTACGTGCAGTATGCACGTTGCACTCACGTAGTAATGCAGGAACGCAGTAACATTAGAAAATTGATTGGAGTAGGTAATTTTGGAATGTCACAAAATTTTGGAACTTTACTCATTGGAACAGCAAATTACAGCTATGAATATATTTTTGAAAGATTGACATAAATATTGAATCTGTAGGTATAAACTTCACCATTTGAAGTAGGAGAAGCATGTCAATGGAAAGCATGAAAGAATGGGGAAGGAAGGGGGGGCCTTGCACGAGTTTTCCGATATATTTTTAGAAATTTATTTGAATTTTCACTCTGATTTTAGTTACTTTGACATCTGTGCCGAGGAATCAGGCCGAGATCGAGCTGTACAGAGTGATGCAACGCGCAAGCCTCCTGTCTTATTACGACACCCTCCTCGAAATGGGTGAGTGACTTGATCTTTAGCAATAATATTCTATGAGGAAAAATATTTCAAAATGAACGCACATAAATGCGTGATAACCTTTGCAAAGATGACTTTAATCGGAAGGATCTATGCAGCGCGTGTAAATTATTCGCATATAGTTTCTATTCGTATGGATACCCAAAGTTTGTTTTAGTACGTTATAAATACACAATACGCGCTATTACTGCCGTGCTTACGTAAAACACCGTATGAACATTTGAAAGGTGCCAAATTTCCATCGATAAAATGCTTGTTTTTGAGGAAAGTTATGAATATTTTGCCGATAAATTTTCGAGAACTTTAGGTAAAATTGCAAATAAAATTAGGTTAAAAATTGGAAGAAAAATATTTACGAATTTTCTCGAAAATTTGAAATTTTCCAAAGAAAATTTGGCAACGCCACAAGGTTCATAGGGCGTTCTTCCTTAGCCCGGCTTCACAAAGGTGCCTGAGTACAACAAGATCATTGCAAGAGCAAATCAATTCCCACGCAAACAGCGAATTTGCGCCCTTGACGTAAATGATTTTACTGAAAATTTTGCCTCTTGTAGGTCAAGTTCACCTTTTCCATGGATGATAATATTTCAACTACTTGCTTTCCTTTCCTCTTGGTGCAGGCGGCGATGATATGCACCAACTCTGCGAGGCGGGCGAAGTGGAGTTTTTGGAAATAATGGCTCTTGTTGGAATGGCAGCGAAACCTCTTCACGTTAGGAGATTTCAGAAAGCTCTCAATGAGTGGTTGAGGAATCCTGGTTTGTATTCTACAGTTACAATTTTTTCTAGAGTTTTCAGCACTCAGTAAACATATACTATAACGTCATATTTTACGTGATAAATTTGTGAATTCTTCAATTTAAACAATGGAATTAATCATTTTTTGTCACAGTTCGTTCTGAAGATCTAACCGGGTGGAGATTCATGATTTTTGCCCCTACAAATAGGAGATGGTTCCTTAATTAGCCCGTTCTATTCACTTACTAGCGGCCTCGAGGGGTTCGGCTGCATTATGGCCAGGGGACAATTCCAAGATACCAAGAGTCACTCTGACATGATCCTATCATCCGCATCAAGCCGCTTACTTTTCTGGCGCTGCGTTTAAGTCTCCAAAATCTACACTCTGAGCAGCGGGCTGATTATTGAAATTGATAGACAAAGCCATAGGCATGGATGCTTTTTGTGATTTGCTTCTATACCTTACATAGATGCTTGCTTTATTTGCATTATTTCGTAAAGCGAGTCTGTAAGGGTGCACCGAGACGGTTCCCGGAGGCTGGGCCGCGTGGCGGCCAGGGGGCTCATCCCCTAGTCATTAATATATTTTACATCATGCTTGCCCACACATTCTTAAAATAAGTATTCATATTTATGGATTCTACATGTAGTACAGCACAGTCCATCTGTACCTACTTAAAGGGAAAGGCAAGCGTATTAATGTATGTGTCCATTTTTCCTGTAGCAATGTTCCAGACGCCTTTGGAGCCTGAAAGATCAAGTGTGGTTCGAGATTGTGTTTCCCCTCTCACTCGAAACCCTGGCGCTAATCTAGTCAACTCTTGTACCCCTCCCCCTAGTGTACCTGTTTCTTCTAGTTTTGGATCCCCCGTTCCGGCCAACAAAATCCCATTAAAGGTATTTATTTCGTAGACACGATGCTTACATCCTTCCAATTTGAGATGCACATTTTGGAGGGTCATGCTGTATTCATGGCTGTTTTTTGAACAGCTCCTTTCCTTCAGATGTCCCTTATGATTAACATTGCTCTTGAGAGGAGCTTAATGAGATTATTAACATGGCACCAAAAGTACAATTGTCAGAAAGCTCTAGTAAAATTCAACAAAATAACTGCGGAAGTAGATCGTTAAAAGAGATGGTAATAATTTTCCGCTGCAGAAAAAAAATACACACTAAATTGTCTATGATTTTGTGTAAGCATGAAGAAAGTACGATGCTGCCTTAGAACTTTCAAAATTTGCGAAACTTTTAAATTTTTAATTTTTTCAAAGAAGCAAATCATTTTAGTCATTGTATGAGTCTGTCTCTTTCTTACTTATCTCATTCTCCTAGCTCCAGTATTTCTCTTTCTCATTCCAAGCCAATGATATGACCTCTTTGTAATTTTAGTTAACTTCGTCTATCTCTATAGAACAAAATCAAGTAAAAATAAAAACTTTGGTAATATACCTTTTGCTTTTTTATTTGCCCGATGATTTCTACCAGTTGTCACAAAAACTTAAATGACCGTCTCGGCTATTTTAGCCATCATTAGTTGAATTGAAGAAAACGAGATTTAAACTTATCTAAAGCTAGAAAAGAGACTGAAACTCCATGTAAAAATTATCGGGCGAAAAAGAAAGCAGACGACAACTGTGCCATGAATGCCGATCAAGGGCATCAGAACATAAAATATCAATCAATGGAAAATTAATTTTTCATAGATACTTCATTTTAGTCAACAAATCGTTCGGTAAAATAATCTTTACCATCTAAGGCTCGGATGGAACAGAGTGTTTTGCCTTAACTGGCAATTTTAAATGATAAAAACCCGATAAAGCGAACAGTGCAGCCAACCCATTTTCGAAATAACCATGGAATTTTCTTGTTCTGTGCAGACTGATTGTTGGGGCCCTCCGCGGGTCTACTCCCCAGGCTGCGCTTCAGCGTCTAGTGCCAGCCTGAGTTCTTCCCCCGGTTCACCTGCCCCCAATCCCCTCCAAGTCCCCAA